AAACACAACGTGCTGATCACTATTTCGAGCAGGTAAAGAGGAGACACAGACGTCTGAGTAGGTGTTTTTGTGTGTGCTGGTTTTGGTGGTTTATGAGGACTCAAACGTGTATAATGTCAGGGGGCGAGTGCTGATATTTTCTGCTATTTCTGCACTGAAAGTTTGTATAAAATCTGAAACAAACAAATCAAATAAAAATACAGAGCATGTGGACAGCACTGACAGCGCTTCACTCTCTCCACATGTGTTTCTGTCACAGTCTTATTCCTAAATGGATTATATTGATTTCCTCAACATTCTACACACAATCCCCATACTGAGCATGTGGAGACAGAGTTTCTGAAATTGATTTATTAAGAATAAAACAGCTGATAGATCAGATGTACATCAGTATTCTCAGGCTTTGGCGTGAAGCTCTACATGGAGCTCAGGTTCATTCTGTCTCCTCTGGTCATTCTGGAGATGCTTCAGCAGCTTCACTGGAGTTCACCTGTGCTCAGTTCAGCTGATGGACATGATCTGATCAGGCTACACCTGTCTATATAAGGGCGCAGGGTTGACAGTGCATGACAAAGCACAAACCAAGCATGAAGACAAAGGAACTGTCTGTAGACCTCTGAGACAGGATTGTCTAGAGGCACAAGGCTGGGGAAGGTGACAGAAACATTTCTGCTGCTCTGAAAGCTCCAGTGAGCACAGCGGCCTCCATCATCCGTCAGTAGAAGATGTTTAACCAGCAGGACTCTTCCTAGAGCTGGCCGGACATCTAAGCTGAGTGATCGGGGGAGAAGAGCCTCAGTCAGGGAGGTGATCAATAACCTGATGGTCACTCTGTCTGAGCTCCAGCGCTCTTCTGTGGAGAGAGAAGAACCTTACAGAAGGACAACCATCTGTGCAGCAATCCACCAATCAGGCATCTGTATGGTAGAGCGGGCAGACGGAAGACACTCCCCGCCTGGAGTTCACCATCTGCAGGACTCTCAGAGCATCAGAAACTAAACTCTCTGCTCTGATGAGACTCAAACTGAACTGTTTGGAGTGAACGCCAGGCGTTACGTGTGGAGAACAGCAGGCGGCGCTCATCAGCAGGCTAACAGCATCCCTACAGTGAAGCATGGTGGTGTTGGCATCATGCTGTGGGGATGTGTTTCAGCAGCAGGAACTGGAAGACTAGTCAGGATAGAGGGAAAGATGAATGCAGCGATGTACAGAGACATCCTGAATGAAGACCTGCACAAGAGTGCTCTCCACCTCAGACTGGGGCGACGCTTCATCTTCCAGCAGGACAATGACCCAAAGCACACCGCCAACACATCAATGGAGCGCCACAACAACAACTCGGTGAATGTGGCCCAGCCAGAGCCCAGACCTAAATCCTATTGAACATCTCTGGAGAGATCTGAAGATGGCTGCACACCGTCGCTTCCCATCCAACCTGATAGAGCCTGAGAGGTGCTGCAAAGAGGAACGGGCCAACATCCCCGAAGACAGCTGTGCAGAGCTCACATTCAGAAAGACTCGAGGCTGTAATCACTGCCAAAAGAGCATCAACAGAGTCTTGAGCAAAGCCTGTGAACACTGATGTACATTTGCTTTTTATTTTTAATAATCTGCAACAATTTCAGAAACTCTGTCTCCACATGCTCAGTATGGGGGATTGTGTGTAGAATGTTGAGGAAATCAATATAATCCATTTTGGAATAAGACTGTGACAGAAACACATGTGGAGAGAGTGAAGCGCTGTCAGTGCTGTCCACATGAATCTTTTACACTTGTATTACACTGCTTATGTGTGCTTGTGTGTTTAACTGTTTGTCTATGTCTTTGTTTGCATGTGCGTGTGCGTGTGTGTGTGTGTGTGTGTGTGTGTGTGTCAGGTACGGGCCCCATCCACATGGATGAAGTGCAGTGTTCTGGTCAGGAGAGCTCCATCACTGAGTGCCGCTTCCAGGACGTTCCGCTGTACAGCTGCAGACACACACAGGACGCGTCTGTGCGCTGCAACGTGCCAAACACTGGCCTGAGCAGCACTGTATGACACACACACACACACACACACACACAATAGTAACTAACTGAATACTCTGTGATATATGAGCACATGAGCAGCAGTGTGGTGTGGCGTGTCTCAGCATGTCTCGCAGCAGTGCTGATATACAGTCCTCCTGCTCTGCTGCTCGTGTGCTGCTGCTCTTATCACTGAACACTCCTGTAGTTATACTGACCACATGGAAAGAACTGTTTGTTTTTGACAATTTAAAGTATACTACATGTGTGTGTGTGTGTGTGTGTGTGTGTGTGCGCGCAGGTGCGTCTGGCAGGGGGTCGGGAGTCAGCGGAGGGCCGGGTGGAGGTGCTGATGGAGGTGGGGGGGCAGCAGAGATGGGGCTCGGTCTGCAGTGAGAACTGGAACATCAATGAGGCCATGGTGGTGTGCAGACAGCTCGGCTTCGGCTTCGCTTCCAGAGCTCATCAGGTCTGACACACACACACACACACACACACACACACACAAACACACGCACACGCACACACGCACACACACTTTCACCCTGCAGAGCGGTCCCTCACTGAAGCTGAGCAGGGCTGAGTCTGCATGGGAACACTGGGCTGCTGTAGAGACCCGTGATGATGATGATGATGATGAAGATCATTAAAGTGTGTGTGTGTGTGTGTGTGTGTGTGTGTGTGTGTGTGTGTGTGTTA